TATATATATATATATGTATGTATGTATATTTTTTTTCCCTTTTTCTTTTTTTTTTTTTTTTTTTTCTCTCTCTATTTTTTAATGTTTTATTTTCATTTTTATAGTGTTATTGTTGTTGTTGTTATTATTATTATTATTATTATTGTTATTATTATTGTTATTGTTATTATTATTATTATTATTATTATTATTATTATTATTATTATAATTGTTGTTGTGATTATGATCATTATCATCATTATTATTATTATTATTAATATTATTATTATTATTATTATTACTATTATTATCATCATCATTATCATCATCCGTCATTATTGTTATTAGTGTTAGTATTGTTATTATTGGAGTGTCATCATCACCATCACCATCATCACTATTATTTTATAACTGGTGGAGTCATTATCCTTGTCTTTGTTATCATTATTATTAATGTTATTCTTATTCTTATTCTTATTCTTATTCTTATCCTTATTATTATTATTACTGTTATTGTTATTTCTATTATTATTATTATTATTATTATTATTATTATTATTGTTATTATTGTTATTATTATTGTTATTATTATTATTATTATTATTATTATTATTATTATTATTATTATTATTATTATTATTATTATTATTACAATTATTATGATGATGATGATGATGATGACTATTATTATTGATATTATTATTATTATTATTATTATTATTATTATTATTATTTTTATTATTATTGTCATTATTATTATTATATATTATCAGTAGTAGTAGTAGTGAGAGTAACAACAATATTGTTATCAATGTCATCATTAGCATCTTTATCTTCTTCATTATCATCTTTATTATTATTATTAATATTATTATTATTATTATTATTATTATTATTATTATTATTATTATTATTATTATTATTATTCTACTATGATCATCATCATTATTATCATCATCATAATCATTCTTATTGATGTTACTACTATGGTAATTTCATTTATCATTATCATCTGATACTGATACTGATGATTTTATTATTCTCTCTTTTTTTTGAAAATATTCATTCTCTTTATCACAATCACCATCTTCATTGTTTTGTTATTATATTGATGATCATAATATTTGTTATTGCAGACTCCATCAGAGCATCCTAAGCCTTAAGAATTCAGGAGGTCTGTCAGTAATTTGTCTTTAAGTGCCTCAGAAGTGCTTGCAAATCTCTTGTTGTGCAACCCAGCTCAATGCCCATTAGGGAGGACTGGATGATGAGGTGGGGGGGGTGAGCTTTGCATACTAAGCATGAGGCATTGGAGTCAGGCTCATCTGATGAAGACACTTGATATGGCTAGTTATTATCAGTGATGACATGGGAGGCTTAGAAATGTGCAGAAGAATTGTTGTTTTGTTCTAGTCCTAGATGTTACCCTTTCTCTGTACTTTTCTATGGATGCAAATATTACTTCTTTTTTTATGTTATATTAGTATTTTTGTTATATTAGTATTAGTATTTTCAATACTTTACATTTTTATGAAATTCCTCTCCATCAGTAAGGCATATGGACATAACTGTTTACTAGAACAAGGTTTAAAACTACTCTAGTGGTAAATTAACCCATTGCCGACGGGCAATGTCCACTGTGAGTTTACTTATTTGATTGTTTTTACCCATAGATGGCTACACTTGTACTAAGTCACCAATGAGCCAATTACGAGTTCTGCATATCTCGCCCGTTCACCCTTTTCTTTAATTTTTGAAAGAATTATAGTAATTATGATATTTATAATAAAAATAAAACCATCGATATTCATAGCACTAGTAAAAAAATACATTTTCTCGCTATTTTTTATTCATTTTCCCCAGCGGCAATGGGTTAAACTGAAGATACTTTATTTTGTAGCAGAAGGAGATTGTGTATGAATTTTGGCTTTTGTCTTTCTCTTTATCATTGATATGAGCTTATGCTATTGCAGGTGCGGGATGGAGGCAGAAAAAGTGACAGAGTTCATCTCCTATACACAGGCTGACCCAGTCCTCGCTCGACAAATTTTGCAGAGTAAGTTTTTAGGGCATTTGTATTGTTATATTTATGTTTATCAGTAATTTTTTTGTATACAGTAGAGATAGAACTTGTATATTTAGTATATGCACACATATATATATACGTATGCATGTGTGTATGTATATATATATATATATATATATATATATATATATATATATATATATATATATATATATATATATATATATATATATTTATATGTTTATGTATATATGATATAGGTGTTTGGAAATGTTACTAACAAAGACATCTACCGGTAGGCGAGAACTGGGATGTAAAGGCCGCTGTGCAGCTCTTTTCGGTGCTAAGAGGGGCCAGTCCCTTTCATCACTCAGGGTCGGTGCGAACATCTGCTCCCCCCAACTTCAACCCTTCAATTAAGCCTCCTGTAGCTCCAAAACCAGTCCTAGTTGACCACAAGCCAAATGTAGATTTGAGATATGCAGGCGATGTACGATCAGCAGCACCAAGATTGGCTCCATTGCCACCTGCAAGAACAAGGAAAGTTGCTGTCTTGCCGAAGCTCCCACACGATGGATCAGCAGCATTGTCATCACCTCACCTCCTTCCTCCAGTGGGACAGGACAACCCCTCTAGTGGAAGCATGCTGATAGACACTTATAATCAGCAGGGGGTGACACCGCTGCCAAGAACTGGTAGCTTGCCACCTCTCCAGAAAGGTCTTGGTGGGTATAATCAATGTGCAAACATCTCTCAAGGGACAGATGTTTGTTCATCCTCATGTGCAACCTCACTGACACCTTCTCCTGTGCCTAGTATAAACAAAGGTTCATCAAAGCCTCATAGCGGAAGTGCTAAAAATGCCCTTCTAATAGAAAAAGTTCGTGGTACTTCTATTGGCTTTTCTGAGAGCCAGAAGAATATAGTACATGATGGTGCCACAAGGGCTTCCGTTATGCCTAACAACACTCCAACTTCTCAAATAACTGTTAATAGTAGCTGTATTATAAGTGTTAATAATCCTAATAACAATACCAATAAAAACAATAATATCTACTTAGATGACTACACACCACCTTCTGGGAATATCTCAGGGAATGTCCCCATCTCAAGCCAGACAACGAACAGTGTTTACAATACCTTATCATCATGTTCATCGTCCCTTTCCTCAACTATGCAGGCTGCTTCCAAAGACTCGTTATCATACTCATCAACAGCTGTGCCTTCTGCTACTGGTCCGTCGTGTGTTATTATTTCTGCACCCATTAATAGTGTGGAAACTAATACTAAATCCCATAAACTGACACAGAAAGCATTATCAAGGGAGTACTTGTATCCTCTTGGGAGCAAGGGCATTAGCGACCGAGATACAAACTGTAAATGTGATTGCAAAGAATCTCACTCAGTAGATAATAACCTAGGAAAAGGCCTTGTCTCAGAACGAGAAAGTAAGAGGCTACAGAAAATAGAGAAAAAGCAAGCATTAGAAGATGAAGTGGATAAAGCCTTGCATCCTGATATCGCTCAGCTCGCAACTTCAGCCTTGGGAATAGGCTCATCTTTGTCAGCTCCTTGCTCTCCTGCAAAGCCTCTGTTGCGCAAAACTGAGGCAGTTGACTTGGAGGAGTATGACTATTGTGAGTATTCTGCAGTACTGGTGCTTGAACGACTAAAGATATTTTTGATAGTCTACTAATGACTTTATTAATACTGAACTATTAATATAATATGTATAATCCATTCCAGCATTTAGCCATATGAATTATTCATTGAACACATAGACCTCTCTGTAAAGAACTGAATCATGAAGGAAAATACCTTTATTTAAATTGTTTTGATATAGATAATTTTGTGATGCATGAATATGATTAGCAAACTGTATACCAGTGCAGTAATGCAGGGTTGTTGTCGGGCATTGGTGGTTTACCCGATTGTGCCTAGCTTGTTTGGCCTTTAAAGCACATTTAATATTTCCCTTCACTTTAGGTGCCTGTATCTAATAGTGACACCAAATGAATATTGTCACCACTATTGGAGAAAGACAAGGAGTGGTTATGTCAGTGCTATCTCAGATTCAGTTTACTAAAGCATTCAAAAAGTTAAATGAATAGAAGATAATTATTGATTTTACAGGAAAACAGTTGATTAAAATAATGTGTAGAAAAGGGATTTTAGAAGCAGGAAAAAGGAAGGAGAGAGATAGAAATAATATACTGGTTTGATATCAAGTGCTGCTCCATTTTCCAGATAAGAAGTTGAGTCGTGGTATATCCAAGGCAACAGACAATGTCAACATTGTATCAAAGGCTCGATCTGAATTTGCTCAGGAGATCTGGGAGGCCATTGACTCAAGCCGAACTCCATTCTTTATTGAAACTCCAATCTTTACTTTCACATTACCTGATCTTAGTATATATTCAGGTAAGTATATGCTAGCAGTGTAAACAGTGATATATATTCAGTGACTTATAATATAGATAATTGGTAATGACATAGAGCTGTATATTTCCTTCTGGTTGCATCTGGTTTGGTACATTAATTTTGTTAACAGCTAAATAATCTAATTTAAAATTGCAGATGAATTTCGAATGTTTCTGGAACGTGATTTGATAGAGACATCAACACTAGTGTCATTAGAGGGTGCTGGACGTCTTAACTGGTGGGCAATGGTGGGAGCAGCGCAAAGACTCTGGCCTTTAGCGACCACAGGAGATGGTAACTGTTTGCTGCATGCAGCATCACTAGGTAACTATGACCATAGTATTTTGCTGTTTTTGTTTTGCATATCATATTCTTCTCATTTTGACTCACTCTTTGAGTGGTTTAGCCATCTGTTTTTCTCTTAATGAGATAAGATTCAGAGGAGAGTTAGTGTTTAGTTTTATTCTATGTAGGGAATATGGTTGATTCAAGGTTGTTAAGTCATTCATGATGGATAACATCCTATCATGTCATGGTAATAAATCCAGACACCAGGTGATGCCTGACCACACCATAAGTACATATTCTGGTGGCTGGGATGGTGGCTAGCAAGCCTGGCCATGAGCCTGTCAGATTTGGAGTGGCGCATACAAGTGCCCCCCTGCCTCATCAAACTACTGGAAAGTTTACATGTTATGAATGGGTTAATTTTTTTTTAAATTCTCATAGACTTATTTAATGAAGCATTTGATAAATGATTGTTATCAATATGTTTGAGTTGATGATGAATGGCAGCTGAATAAATTTGGTATCAGCAGATGACAGAGTAAAAAAAGGTCTGGTACTTACAAGAGTGGATCAGTCATCAGATTTCTGTGTAAGTTTGTAAGTTGAATGTTGGCAGTGAACACAGAAGTGAACCCACTGATGCGGTATACATTGCACTGCCCACTGTGCTTGTTTCATTTTCTTTATATGTAGATGACTTCAACTCTTAAGTGACAAAGGAGTAGCTAGGCCTACTGACATGAGAAACTAAATATAGTACTAATTATGTCAAAATTGTTTGCTGTCTAAGTTGCTGGAAAGGTATGATTAACTTGTATAGGGGTTCAATCATCAATAGCATCCATCAGTATTTTAAAAGGGATTAAATCCCAAGAAAAATTATCTTTGATAGAATCTTAAGAAAGAAATATTGATTTAATGTCAGTTTTGTTTACATATAGATGGCTTTGCAAGTGCTTAGTCTCAAAGGAGTCTGTTACTAAGCCTACCAAACTCCAACTGTTAACATCATTCATTGAATTTTTTTTTTCTTTTTTTTTCCTTTTTTTTGTAATACTATTTTTATTATTACATTTAGTATTATTGTTATTATAAATCTTACTATGATGCTATTATTAACAATACTAATAGAAATAGAAAGAAATATGAAAATTCCAGGAATAAGATAAACAAGGGTGATGTTAACTCCTCAGTGACAAAGCACTTTTGAGCCATCTGTATTGAGACATAAATTAGGAAGATAAAATCATGGTGAACAGGGTATTTGTAGATGCATTATGGTATTAGTAGGTTGATCTGTGTTTCAGTTTAGTTAGAATTTCAATTTTACTTGGGGGAAGAATTTGTTTTAAGATAAATTATTCAACCCTCAAGAACCAAAAGGCCTGATTTATCAGGTTTCATCAATGCAGAGAGCTCAGTTTTGCAACAAAATTATATTCTTATTATATAAAACAATTAAATATGTCTTCAGGCATATTTTTGATAAGTAGATGTATAAATGATAGAAATATAATGATATACCAGGATGTAAGTGTCCTACAAAATGGCATGGTGTTTGGAGGGGGGATATGGGAGAGGAAATGGTTGAGAATTTGTCTGGATATAATGTGCTATTCCGTACCAGAATTACTAATGCCCATTCGTGACTTACCATTCACAAGAAGAAAGAAGTAGGATAACACAACAGTACATTTAACCCATTGCTGCCGGGGAAAATTAATAAAAAATTAGGAAAATGCTGTACTAATTTTTTATATTTTTGTGAAATATCTGTATATAGATGGCTCTGCTAGTCCTGATTTCACCTTTCCTTGAATTGGCGGGAAAACACACATTCTTACTAGTGCTAAAAATATAGATGGTGTTATTTTTAACAGCAAATTAGGATAATGTTAAATATTTTTGTAAATCAATGAAAAGGGTGAATGGGCGAGACAGGGAGTACTCATAATTGGCTCACTGGTGACTTGGTACAAGTATAGCCATCTATGTGTAAAAACAATCAAACAAGTCAACTCACAGTGGGCATGGCATGTACGTACATGCCATTCCCAGCGGCAATGGGTTAACTGAGGAGAGGAGTGCCTACAAGGGGAGGACTGGTATGAGGATGATATCATGGTTGTGGCTGGAGGAAACTTGCCATGCAGGACTAGATATATTACATACATCTCATGTATAATGAAAAAGTCAGGCCCTTCACAATTTCGGTTAATAGTAATATAATACTTTGTGTAAAAAGCCACAGCTGTAATAAGTAATAATTCACATACATTGTGCAGGAAGCCACATCTGTGACAAATAGGACTTCAGAGGTTGAGTTAAATTTTATGTATGCTATCTCTTTATTCAAATAGTGGAGAATGCCATTACTGCTAGTATTATTTTATTTTTGCAAGTTTATGAAATTATTGAATAAGTCCTTATAAGTTTTTTATAAATTTGAATTGACACATTGTTTTTCAGGAATGTGGGGTTTTCATGACCGCTTGTTGACACTGCGCAAGGCTTTGCATGAATTTTTGACTCGCAGTCATTTTTGCCGTCCATTGTGGAGACGCTGGAGATGGCAAGTCACACAGCAGAATAGAGAAACTGGTATGGACTGTTCAGTACTTAAAAACTAGTTTATGATTTGACATAGGCTGTGATGAAAGGTACTCATTATTATTGATGTGTGAACTCTTCACTAATTACTCCAGTTATCCCAGATTAGTTCTCAAAATACAGTTTTATATCATTTCCTATCTTTTATTGTTTAAGTATCATCTTGTTCAGTTTCACTTGTATTTAGTTATGCTACACTTTTGTCAACAGGTCTGGTATATAGCAAAGAGGAATGGGAAACGGAGTGGGCCAATGTGCTGCGCCTGGCTTCTAGTGCACCTCGAGGAGGACAGGAATCGGGACAAGAGGAAGGAAATGAGAGTGGCCAGAGTAAAGAGAAAGTCCAGACCAAAAGCGACACTAATTCAGATATCTCGGCTGCTAGCAAGAGACTTAGCAATGGGTGAAGTGATCTGGGATGACCTTGTTGACAAAGATATTTTTGTAGAATTAAGGGTGAATGTAACTATAATGTGGGTTTTTGGTGTTTGCGTATGTATTAATTATTGTTATTTTTATTCAGGTTTCTTACTAGTCAGGATGATGACTGCACTGGGAGAGTCTATGAGAGCTTAGAAGAGATTCATGTGTTGGCTTTGGCTCATGTATTACGCCGTCCCATTATTGTTGTGGCTGACTTAACTCTCAAGGTGGGAGACTTCATACATGGGTTGTTTGTTTGCTTTCTGTATTTTATTTTTTGTCTGCTTCAGGGCTTACAATCTCAGGTTATTGCCTGTTCTCTAAACTGGTGTTTAATCACAGTCCTTTTCATCATTTTTCAAAATGGCTTAAAGGTGCTCATTGAACATTACACTTATAAAACGAGGATCAAGTGGTTGGCATTATAATATATACTGTGGTCACAGCTTGCGGAAGAGATTAACCAACTTTCTTTAAAATATGAGTTGCTTTGGAAAGTGTTACCTTAAAGTAAATCATTTCCATAATGTGATAATTACACTTAGGAACTAATTTAGCATATATGAAGTAATCATTCCAAAATAAATTGGCATAATTTTTTTGTAATTAGCCTTGGTAATTTA